CCCCCCCCGCTCATAGGGATTGCGTACAGTTGATCAAAGTTCCTGGGCTCCGACTGGTTGGAGGGTCACAAGTGTTCATAGCAAAAATGTCTGGAGAGCATTTATAAAATAAAAACGATTAAATAATGTTGGGCTTAAGTTACAGCTCTGTTTTACTCCTGAAGAGTATGGAAATCTATTTGTTATTCTTCCGTTTAACAAGCTGTCGAAGATTCGGGTCAACGCAACGAGTCCGATGCCAATAAATATTCCAATAAATGTCAATAAATCCTACGTTCATAAACATGAATAAACATGCAAACTGAATCGCTATCTCGCGAGGCGATATTGGTTCAAATACTGCGTCAGGAAAACGTACGATTACTGGTAAACGCAAAACATCGAGTACACACTGCGAAGAAACCGAAAAAAACTAACAACTAACCTACCAGCCATTTTGTATAATGCAATATGGGTAATATGTAAAGTAGGTCGTATTCGTGAGGTCCTATTTGAGAGCTCCCAGATACGACCCAATGTGGCGTGCGCATAACCCTTCTCGCCCCCAGAGATCCCATATGAAACTTTCATGTCGTCGTTGGTGGCGGCCTACTAATACCGTCCTGGATAACTTGTGCTTCATTTGGACGAAATAGAAAGCTAATCGCGACAAAAAATGTATTTATATAAACTATTATTAATACAAATAAAGAAATTAAAAAAATAGGACAGAAAAAAGCTATCTGCCGAAACCCGGGACAGTTCAGTCAAGCTCGTGCGAGCCCGCCGGGGTTTTGAACCAGGGACCTTTAGATCTTCAGTCTAACGCTCTCCCAACTGAGCTATTTCGGCGCTGAAATATGAAGTCGTAATTTACGTTCATCATTAAAAAACGCAAATTTTGTATTATTTGATATGACGTATGAATGAGATATACATCAATTAGCTAGAAATTAATGCTTATTTAGCCTAATCTAAGATGCTTTGGACTGGCAGTTGTTTATTCTCACTGAGATATCCGCCTGATTGGCTAACCCTTGACCTAGTATTATTGTCCAATGAAAACACAGCGTTTGGATACCCGGAAGTAACTTCCTTGTCGACTACGGTACACTGTAAACTACGGCGCGGTAAACATATAAACATGAATATGTACGCCAAAATCGCGTGGTGCCTTCTTTTGGTTGTTTTGTTTGTAGAGTATGTAGACATGAAAAAGAAGAAACAGAAGGAAGTTGAAATAATTACATTGGTGAGTAAAATTTTATCTGGTAGCTCGTGGGTAGGGCAACAACAGCAGGATCAGCGGAACGGATCTGCTCTGCGCACATGTGTTGGTTCTGGTATATTGGTGTGGAATCGATGTGGTTTATTTGCTATTTATCGTCACTGACTGACCATTAATCTCATACTCCTTTATTGTATGTTGTTGTAAGTTGCATTCCTGACAGATATAGACACAAGAAAAAAATTACGCAGTTGGGCCATAGCCCAACGTACATATGGTCTTGAAAAACAGATAGAAAACTACATGTGTGTGTATGTGTATTTACAAATATTTTATTCACATATGAAATTAGCGTGGTATTAAGTCAGTGCACAGACGTTTTTTTTTTTTTTTTCACCTCTTTTCCAAAAAATCCTCCAAATTCTGAATATGTACTAGTTTATCATAGCTGCAGTCAGCTGGTGTGTATTCTACAGCCTTCATAATACATACACAATGTAAGTGAATTCCAAAGTTGTTGAATGGTTTATCCTCCGTGGACTGGAGTAACTGGAGTAATTGCCAAAATATATTGCATTTGTCTGGCATCCCAGCAAATGGCCTAACCCTTGAAAAGTATTTTATCCTCCAAATTATTTTGTTCACCATGTATTAACTCAAATAAAACATTCATAGTAGTTTAATCATATTTCCATTTAATATGGTCATTATATTCAGTTATTTTTTTCAATATGTTCATACAATGCTTAATGAAAATTAATTTTCTAATATTCGTGTTATATTGAAACCTAAGCAATGGAAACTCCTGAACGGCTTTATACACTTTTGAAAACGACAACAAAATTGACCAAAAATAGTTGGTCTGGTACATTTTCCCACCCTTTGACACCTCAAATTTTTACGGGCACAAGCACAAGTATCAATCAATCAAATTTACGACATAATTAACAAAATATACGTAGCCGAAAACACTAAAGAAGAATAACAAGTGACTGCATGTTCGTTTTTCAATCATTAAAGTGGCTGGTACTATATTTAAAAAGTAGTGCCATTTATAGCTGCATAAATATGTTCCTGATGAACGTTATCTAACACATCGACCAATAGAATTGTGACACAGTTAATAAGGCCAAATCAAATAAATTCTTAGTTTCTGGTAAACCATACCTCATTTTTGGGCGGTGGTGTGGGAGTATATTAACAAGTTTATTTCATGCAAATGGTCGTAAAATTATTTATTTCTATGAAAATTAGGTCTGGTCATTCCATAAATGTTGTATTTTTCTCAGTTCACATATTTTCTTCTGTGTAGTGAAAGACTAGCACTTAGCTTTGAGAATATATTTTTTTGTTACAACAAATTAATTACATTTTAATTACATTTTTTTCATCTGTACCATGATTATATATTATTTATCCCATATGATTTCCATGCTATGGAATACAAATCCTGGTAATTTGATTGGTCTGTGGAAGCAGATTGATTTTTTGACTGTGACATCATGGATGACTATCGCGAAATATATTTTACTCATAATTTCTTGAATTATTAGGAATCATATTAATTCACATAATTTGTAGTTTCTGATGCAAGCAAAATTGTGTGTGTGATATGAAGTTCTATATATTTAAATTCTCCCAATGTCAATCTTCACCATGTGAAATGGCCACAATTTGGTTAATATTATCATTCCCTAAACATGGTGATGACTCCAAAAATAACAATATTTCTTAAATGCAACTACATGTAGATAAGCTAACGTTAATCATCATTCATGGTTATGCAACTTAGCCAGAAAGTTATATGAATTATCATGAATATGGACTCACAAATTCTGCTCTCTTGCCTTTTTCTAATCTTTAGTGGTTGTAAAATGGATACATGGGATAAGCAGGATATCAAATTAGTGACTTTACAATATCAGATTTATTAAACTTGGGTACTAGTAATAATTTTCAATTATTTCTCACCAAAGTCTGAAACAAATGAAAATTATTACAGTCGTTTAATTACTCTGATATTGTAGGGTCACTCATGAGATAGCCTTCATATATTATTAAAATGAAAACATAATTAATAAAAAGATAACATTTATAATACAAATCATTGCCTGCTTTTTAGAAGTTACTGGAAACACAAAATTTGTTTTATTTGGCTTAATGCATGTTATTAAGTGTGTATTTACTCATACATGTACTGTTATCAGTGTATATACAGAGTCAAATTTATCATTTATGGCTGTCCAGATGTGTTCAGTTATGGTATAATTCACACATACAAGGATAAATTATGGTGGAAAAAAGGCAGTCTCCAAAATAACAAAACAGGAGAGAAAAATACAATAATCAAATAACTGAAGTTGAAAATATTGTCATTTTTACAAATATGTCATCTCATGTTACTAGAATGAAGGAAATGAAAAAACAAATATGGGGTCACTGTACTCTGAGAAAATTGCTGTACAAAATTGTGTGGAAATAACATGTTTTGACTGCATTAATGTATTTTACCATTGTATGCTTTGGATACATCACAATATTTCAAAATTTTGGAATCTGGGCTATGGGAACAGCTGTATGCATTTTGGGAATCATTGTCATAATTTGCCAAACATAGTTGGTCTGGTACGTTGACCCGTCCAATCTTACAGGAGATGTTTTACAATAATTTGACTGAAACTATCGGCTTTAAACTGAAATAAAGGTAATATCTAACATTTATTTTCAGAACCAGCACCCCCACATAAACCAAAAAAGTTTCACTGGATAACCAGCCGCTCTCCATCTTATGTGAGTTTTTTAAAACAAAAAATTAAACAACGTTTTAAACAAGAAATCAAAGCTGGACAAACCCGTTAACACCTGTAGGTATAACATGCATTTTCAGAATGTGTACCTCCAAGTTGGGCTGGCAAATTGTTTGGCAAATGTCACCTTCCCCTTGACCTTCTGGTTTAATATGGTGAAAAAATTATATATATATATTATAAATTTTATTATATATTTTTTACTTAATACATTACTATGTTTTCAATTTTTTAACTTCATAACCAAAAAAGAAATGTAATATAATATTTTCTTTACAGTGTCAATAAAGCACTATTCTATTCTATTCTATTCTATTCCATATTCTATTCTATTCTATTCTATTCTATTCTATTCTAATCTATTCTATTCTAATCTATTCTATTCTAATCTATTCTATTCTATTCTATTCTATTCTATTCTATTCTATTCTATTCTATTCTATTCTATTCTATTCTATTCTATTCTAATCTATTCTATTCTATTCTATTCTATTCTATTCTAATCTATTCTATTCTATTCTATTCTAATGTATTGTTCATGTCTAGAAGTCCTAAAAAATGACATTATTTTTATTGCGCTTTTTTAATTATGAAATGCATTTTCCTTGAGGTCTATGAAAACTGCTGCAAAATTGCCAAATTTTATACATATTATTTGACAGGTTTTCCCTGAAGCAGATTGACAGTTAATTTAAAAAGAACATATATAGTCTGTCTAATAGTACAAAATGAATAATTATAAAAAAATATTTACACAAAATATAGCCACGACTATACGTACACATGTAGTAAAAAATGTATACATTTAAAAAAATTGCATTCTAACTTAAAGGAAATTGAAAATAGTATCTCAATTAATTTTATAAAAAAAAAAAATGTAAAAAACAGTACCGATATATATATGCTGCTATGACTACCGTAGTATATCATATGTTTATGAACTGTTTATTTTCTGTGATTTTTTTTCCTAAATGTTTCAGCATGTCTCATTAAATTTTATTGACACACTTGTCTTTGATAAACTCCAGCACACATAATGTAATGTAAAAATTCAGAAAGTCAAGTATCAAGTAAAAGACAACATGCATATGACAAAAAAAGAAGGTACCTGCAAGCTTGCTTTTATTAAAAAAAATGACTTTGGAATTGCCCGGCATTAAAAGGCTATGGTTTTTCGATTCGTTGCTTTTATCATTTTATAATTTTTTCTAAATGTGCTTTACACATTAGTGTATACAGCACAGGAGATGTTTACTCATAAATGAAAACATCCAGAATTTACTCGTTTACTCAAAATATTCTATCACTGTTCAAATGAAAGGATTTGACTGATTAAGATTGTCTTCAGTATTTAATTTCCAAAGACACAACCTTATAATCTGCTATTTTTTTTGTCAGGAAGCTGGTGGACAACAGTTGTTCCATCGAAAACTGGTGTTGGAAATATTAGGTTATTGAGTTTCGCTTCGACAGTACGGTACATTGCTGTGCATAGCGAGGAAGTCATACAATTTTAATCATGCTGACGCATCAAAAAATTGATCAGTTAAAAGTTTCATTACCAGATATCATGTGACGTACATTTTTGGTATACAATATGTGTTCATCACTTTTGGTTTCATTATCACCAGATTGTTTATTTACATTAATTTGAACTACTGTAAAATACTTTATTTTAGGTGGAATTAATTTTCGTTGAAAAGACTTTTTGGGTGTTTTGTATGGAATTTATTGATTTTTAATGAGTTGAATGTAAAATATAGGAAAAAAGGTATATTCACTGAATTTTATTTTCAAAAACTGCAAAAATTAATTCCAAGCAAAAATAAATTATTTTACAGAAATATTCAAGCTAGATTCTGCATGTCACATGATTTACAATTTTGCAACTATACAGAGAAAAATTCACACTATATAATCATTCAGTCACTTAAAAATTGTCTATTATTCAGCCAATGGGAGTGCACCTTACTAAAAAGTAGCTTGCAACAAGAATTCTGATTGGTTGTGATGTCACCGCATGGTGGAATTACCTTTAATCACATTGAACTTATAAGTGATAATAACATATTCTCTTATCAGTTGATGGATCTTTTATGTTTTTGCCGACATATGGTTGTAGTAAATTTGAATAAGTATTATATTAATTACCAGATGTTTTCACTCTCTCTAATTTTCAATGTCTCTTCTATAGATTAATATACTGCCACTTTTGGTTAAATTTTAATTCAAAATGAGTTCTTGTTGTAATTGATCAATGAAAGATGTTCCTTTCACTTTGAAAGATCCATTATTACTCATACTTTTCACTGCACAAAGCTGTGCATCTATAATGTACATGTAGATGAGTGTAAGTTTGTTTAAGTAATTACAGTTTGTTTTTTTGTGCCAGGCGACAGTTCCGAACGTTTTTTTTTTTGTATGTGCAAATTGCAAGTGCTAGTGCTGACACATAGCATTTTTGCCACAGAAGTCATATTCATGTTTGGGACTACATGACAGGGCTGTGTGGCCATCTCTCTATCAAATGGCAATTTTAATGAGATATCCTGGCGTCAACCAGGCTCGGTCAAACACAAGCACCTGCAGACCTTAACCAAGGTTCCCCCAAAGTCGCATTCGTTAGTGAATGAATCTCGGCCAGTGGAATTGGCCTGCCCATTGAGTCTGTGGCACACTCACCCAGGGTAGGGGATACCTGTTTGATGTTCAGCCTAAGGTAGGATTTGAACCTGGGTCTACCGAACATGAGTCTGATGCGACAACCACTAGGCTACCAGTGACCAATACCGGTATACTTGATTTATGATGCTTCAGGTTGCATTTTTTACACACCTTTACCAGGGATCAAAATAGTTGAATTTGCCTTTAAGACTTCGTACAAGTAAATACACAGAAAGTTTGCATGGGGATTTCATAAGTATTCTTATATACATTACATTTGAATATTTGTAAGAATATTTCTGATACCGGTAATTTGACTAGTTTATAATTAGGGTAGGGACATGATGTTTTACTAGCTCTTTTTGAGCTATTTATCATGTTCCACATCATAATGACAAAGCATTATGTATTTAGCAAGTACCCTATTGTATTTACTTTATGGTGAAATAAAAAATACAATACAATACAATACAATACAAATGTCAGTCCAACATTTAATCAATCTTTTTATGAACGATCTGCCAGATATCTTTGATCCCAATTAACACATTTGACCCTCCAACACCAGTCAGCTGTCTTCTTTTAAGTAGATGCTATTGTTCTGCTATCTGAAACAAAAAATGACTTGCATTGAATCATGTTTGGATCATTTTGCAACATACATGTACACATGGTATTGGAAATTCAGTAAATATTGAGAAAACAAAAATTTTCAGTAAATGCAACAGGCTTTGAAGTGATTAATCTATTATTTTTTGAAGGCAGAGAAATAACTCTGACAAAAACATTTAATTATCTTGGAGTCACTAAGCTCTAATGGAAAATTCATAGAAGCACTAGCAAATCTGAAAAGAAAGAAGCAAAAGGTCTTATTTTTACTGAAAGAAAATCTAAAAATAACTACTGTTATTTTTCCTTTTTGATAAATTAATCTGGTCAATCCCAGCTTATGGTAGCAATAT